GTGATCGTCATTATCTGTAGGCTCCAGATAACATGTTCCTGTTAGCAACACACTTCACATTCAGTTAGCACTATTTGTGAGTAAGTTACAGGGAGTGTAACGTGTGATGGAGTATAGTTTGTGATTCATGAGCGTTTCGCATCTACAGGCAGGAGCTGCTGAGAGAGGGGTACAGACTGATGGAAATAAAGAAGCTTCTCAGATGCTACGGCATCCGCAGCTTAGCCCTTTCTAATGCTCGTGATGTCATGGTGAGTTTGTCTTCAGCTTTAGATGTCCTGTTATGCGTTTTATATTTAACAGTGGTCTATTCCATGAAGGGTTAGAACACAGATCTTTGTGTTGTCCTCTCTGTTCCTGCAAGTGGCTGGTATTTTACTGTGGTTTGCTTTGCTCAGATGCTTGTGAGGCACATCCTAAAACAGGACCTGCCCACCTCTCTCGAGGACTCGCTGAAGTTAATCGAGGCCTACAAACTAAACCCCGCAGAGATCCACCACCTTCACTGCATCCATCTCATCCAGCACAATAAGGTGATGCTCCCACAGAACTGGCTGCTGTAAAAACATCATAGACCCTCACTAACTCTTTTTAGAAGCTGAAGTCATCACAAATGGGTTCGTTTATATAGTGGTGGATGGAAAATCCAATAAAACATAAGCGTTCCAATAAGAAAAAAAAACATCAATGATAGTGTTTCCACAACTTTCCAGACGTTCTCGCGATGCAGACGCTCCCAGGAGACTGAGACTTCATGAGCCTTCAGTAAAACAAGTGCTACAATTTGTTATAATAGTAATTTTAATGATTTAATAAGTCCATAAGGGAGACATATGAACATAACTTATATTATAGAGTCAAATAAAGTTGTAGTTGGGTGGAATAGAACAAGCCGTCTTCCTGAAATGATGCCAAGGACCTGAGCTACTTACACTATCCAGCTCAGAAAAACTGATTCGGGGTTATTAATGGAGTTTCTCCAGGGTGCATGCATATCTCTAACAAAGTGATTTTAACTGTAGAGTAAAAGCATAACTCTGAGTTTGAGCTGGAAGTGTTGCGAGTGTTGTGAGATCGTGTTGTGTTTGCAGAGGGAGAAGTGCGTCGCTCTGCTGAAGAACCTGCTCCGTCCTGAAGCAGAGCTTGTGATCGAGCGCATGGCCTGCTGGGCAAGACTTGAACTTCAAGACAAGCGGCACGTTTCTCAAGAGGTCAGAGAAAGAGTGGGAACCTCACAGAGACTTTCAAATCATACAAATTATTATGTTCTCTACATTAAAATTCTCATTTTGATTTTAACTGGTATAATGTTGCAATGCAAAAATAAAAATCTGCATACTAAAGTAGGATTTGTTGTCTGTATGAAGTTTTTTTTT